ACCCTGTTAAATGACTCACATGAACGAATCCCAACACACTGAACACAACAACACAACCAGTGATTGGGAAGACACTAACTTACACTAAAACTAACTGAAATACTTTAAGATTCACTGTAGTGAACCAACTCGTTGTAGTGAATCAGTTCATAATAGTGACTCAGTTCATTATAGTGAATCAATTCATTGTAGTGAATCAGTTCATTGTAGTGAATCAGTTTTTTTATGGTGAATCAGTTCATTGTAGTGAATCAGTTCATTATAGTGAATCAGATCATTGTAGTAAATCAGTATATTGTAGTGAATCAGTTCGTTGCAGTGAATCAGTTCATTGTAGTGAATCAGTTTTTTATGGTTAATCAGTTCATTGTAGTGAATCAGAACGTTGTAGTGAATCAGTTCGTTGTAGTGAATCATCAGTTTGTTATGGTGAATCAGTTTGTTATGGTGAATCAGTTTGTTATGGTGAATCAGTTCGTTTCGGTGAATCAGTTCGTTTCGGTGAATCAGTTCGTTGTAGTGAATCAGTTTGTTATGGTGAATCAGTTCATTGTAGTGAATTAGTATATTGTAGTGAATCAGTATATTGTGGTGAATCAGTTCATTGTGGTGAATCAGTTCATTGTGGTGAATCAGCTCGTTGCAGAAAATCAGTTCATTGTAGTGAATCAGTATACTGTAGTGAATCAATTAGTGAATCAGTTCATTGTAGTGAATCAATGTGTTGTAGTGATTCAGTTCATTGTAGTGAATCAGTTTTTTATGGTGAATCCGTTCATTGTAGTGAATCAGATCATTGTAGTGAATCAGTTTGTTATGGTGAATCAGTTTGTTATGGTGAATCAGTTTGTTATGGTGAATCAGTTTGTTATGGTGAATCAGTTTGTTATGGTGAATCAGTTCATTGTAGTGAATCAGCTCGTTGCAGAGAATCAGTTCATTGTAGTGAATCAGTATACTGTAGTGAATCAATTTATTACAGTGAAACGGTTCACTGTAGTGAATCAATTTATTACAGTGAAACGGTTCACTGTAGTGAATCAGTTCATTGTAGTGAATCAATGTGTTGTGGTGAAAAATTTATGTTAAAAATGTGGAAAATATGATGTTTCTTTTCTACTCATTATAGTACTGTACTGTTAGATGTATAATTTATTTGTTTGATTTAATCTTTTTTTTAATTTTAATCAAATGATTCATTCATTTAAAAGGGTTTTTTATGTTTTCAACTCACTATAGCACTGTACTGTTAGATGTATTTATGTTTTTATTTAATCTTTTTAAAAATGTATTTAATTCAATTTATTTATTTATTTTAATAAAATTATTAGCTTTTTATCTTCACATGCTTATACTGTTTTTCCCTATATTTTTCCACTTTTAAAAACCCCCGATATCGTTAGGTTATCATTGACAAACTAAAACCATTAAAAAAATCTAAACATTTTTGTTACTTGTAATGAAATAATTGTTAACTGAAATCAAATAAAATGTTAAGATTATTTTATTTCAGCTAAACTTATTTATTAAAAGTTTAAGTTTTAAAATAACTAAAATTAAAGTAGAATTAATAAACAAAAATTAATAAACAACACAACAAAATTACGAAAACTTTATCTGAAATAAAAAAAGAAATAAAATACAATTTTAAGCTTATTTTATTTCAGCTAAACCTTTATTATATTAAATTTTATTATAAGTTAAATTACTAAAACTAAATAAAGTAGAACTAATAAATAAAAATGAATAAACAACACGCAACAAAATTACTCAAACTTTAGCTGAAATTATAAATGAAGTAAAATAAAACTACGCTTATTTTATTTCAGCTAAACCTAAACCTAAATTACTAAAATAACTCAAACTAAATAAAGTAGAACTAATAAATAAAAAATGTATAAATAACACGCAACAAAATTACTCAAACTTTAGCTGAAATTATAAATGAAATAAAATAAAAATAAATTAAAAACGTAACTAAAAAAAAAAAATTTAAATTAAATCGAAATTTAAATTAAATTAAATGTAACAAACTACAAAAGTATCTAAAAGAACACTGGTATGGGAAACTAGAGCAACTTGACTGTAGTTTAACAGCTTTCAGTGCAGCTTCTCCATCACTGGTTGTCAAATAAATCAGCTGTAATCTAGTAAAGCGAGAGTTTTTCACCTGCGCACTTGGTGCGGGCCCTGAGCGGGGGCCCCGGGGCCCCGGTGCCGCCCTCGTTGGGTCTGGTGAGCAGCACGCTGATCTCGTACTCGGTGTCGGGGTCCAGGTGGCCGATCTTGTGGTTGGGTTTGTCGACCGGCTGGCTGTCGATCAGGCTTCCGGAAAGCGTGCGGTACTCCACCTCCTTCTCCACGATCGGCCCGTCGCCGTTGATGGAGTTCGCGTTGAGCTGGATCCACAGGTAGGTGGCGCCGACCGCCGTCAGCTGAGGAGGAGCGATGGGGATCGGAGGCTCTGAGAGAGTGACAATATTCATATTATGACAACATTTTCAACCATCATATCTGTAATATTTGACCCTGGACCACAAAACCAGTCATAAGGGTCTGAATAAATAAGCTTCCATTGATGTATGGTTTGTTAGGATCGGACAATATTTGGCTGAGATACAACTATTTGAAAAACTGGAATCTGAGGGTGCAAAAAAATCTAAATATTGAGAAAATCATCTTTAAAGTTGTCCAAATGAAGTTCTTAGCAATGCATATTACTAATCAAACATTAAGTTTTGATATATTTACGGTAGGACATTTACTAAATATCTTCATGGAACATGATCTTTACTTAATATCCTAATGATTTTTGGCATAAAAGAGAAATTTATGATTGTGACCCATACAATGTATTGTTGGCTATTGCTACAAATATCCCCCAGCGACTTAACACTGCTTCTGTGCTGCAGGGTCACAGATGAGGACGTCTTCAGCCGTCATATCTGTAATATCATAGTTACGCAACTTGAAAGAAAAGGTCACTTTAGCTAGCTGAAAATAAAGTAGATTGAATACAGTTAGCTACTTTTTGTTAAGTAGCTTGTAGTATAGATCATCCTCATGCAAGGAATATTAAAACAACATCTATGTATTTTCAAGTGTAAAGAGCCATCTTATACTGTGAAAATGTTGCATTATAAATAAAAGTAAAATATTATTTGGATTTTTTTTATGTTACATTACTGATATATTATGTATTTTAATTGTTTATTTAATCAGCATTTTATTTATTAAATTATTATAATCAAATTATGTTTATTTATTTAGTTTAATCTTATTGTTATTATTTATTTTTACACTATTTTTCTTTAATATTTTCTACAGACCCCAGTTTGAAATCAGGGTTATTATCATTAACTAAAACTAAAACCATACTAAATAAAGAAATAAATAAAAATTGTTACTTGAAATATAATAAATATTGAATGAAATAAAATAATGAAATAAAATGAGTGAGTGAGAACATTAATGTAATTTTCAACATATAAAGTCAAATCCATACTACTGTCGTTTGTGTGTAAAATATTATGAGTAAAATGTAATTTTGCAAATATATGGGGTTTATCACGTAACATTATGATGTTTATTTTCTACAAAAAAAAATAATAAAAGTGGTATTTATTGGTTTAATCAAATTTAATCTTATTTTTATCATTTATTTAGTAACAATACATTTAGATCAGAGTTATTATTAACTCAAACTAAAACCATAAAAACTGTATATATATATAGCTGATAACGGTTTATAGCTAACTGTTTTCATTTATTCCCTTAATATTACATAGTGGAGAAAAAATGAGGAGAAACATTTTGTGTTTTTGAAAGTTGGTGCTTGGAATAAAAGCTTTTTATTTCATTGATTTTTATTGATGACTGCAGTGTTAATATTACTGTTTTTAATATAACTGTAGGCCTATAATTCATTGTATAATAGACCTGTTTTAAAATACCTTTTTAAAAAAAAACATTTTAATTGAGTAAATAGCCTAATCTTTTATCATCGCAGCGCGTCAGTTATTTGGTAATTATTGCGGGATAAATTAATTGTAATTTTAATTTAATAATAAAAGTAACTTCATAATAATATTAATAATAGGCCTAATAAAAATAAGAATGTAACAGGCTTAGATTAATTGGAAATGCCAAATCCTTTTAATATTGCCAATAATTTATGTTTTTGACAATATCTTTGGCTATCGTTGATACAAGTTCATCGTCTTTCGATGCAACCTAGCAAAGGGAGGTTATCGCGTTAAATATACTGTCTTTATGTGTACATATACATATATATATATATATAAAAATATGACAAAAAAGGCAAACAAAATTACTAAAACTTTATGTAAAATTAAAATGAAAAGAAAAAAATATACAAAATAAATATTAAACTATAATAGTACATAAATTATACTAAAATAACTTCAAATAAATATTCACTAGAACACAATGATGAGAGCGAGTGAGAGCATTAATCTGTGGTCTTGTGTTTCTGATCGCCCTGATCCTCGAGCTCTTGTTGATCATCAGATGAACTGAAGCGCGGCTTGTGGCTCTCGAAGGCGAGTCATTTTGTTAATGAAACACTGAGATGAGCGAAAAGCCGCAGATCAACAAAGAGCTGTTTAATTCCACCCCGCGTCTCTGGGCTTTAATCTTAAGTGGCGCAATTAATCAGCGGCACGTCGATCGCACGCAAAAGCCACGACTCGCGATCTAGAGCATAATCTTCAGACGGGCCGCCTGATTCCTCTGAGCTAATGACTTAAACCAATTAATTTCCTGACCTTCATTGTTTTAGATGAGCACTATTTCATTAGTCGCCACCCCAACGGTCCTGCTCCAATTCACCCGCCACACACACACTCACACACTCTCACACACACACACACACACTCACACTCACACACACACACTCACACAGAACACACACTCCCTCCCTCCCCCCACCACCACCCACCCACTCACTCACAGACACACACACTCACAGACACACACAC